TGTTATTTATAGCACAAAGGAAGAGTGAAGTAGAACTGATATGGGCTTTGGACATTTGTTTGAGAAAGAGGTTTGAGTCAGAGAACCTAAAATTGCTTTAATTGCAGTATTGTGTAGAACAAAGGGTGATTATAGTACTACTTTCTTCATCATTCAGTTAAATTTGGCTTTATAAAGACAAACAAAACAAAAAATGAATGACTAAATAAATTAAACGTAACCAAAGAGATTTTTTTTCCACCCCAGACCAGCTCCGATCCTGTCACTCAGGACAAGACGAAACTAACAGAAAGCTGAGTGTACTGTGTGTGTTTGTGTCTGCGTTTCACTCTATTTTTGGAGACAGAAGGGTGTCATTGATGCAGAGAGGCTAATTCAACCTGCCTCCATTGTGTCCGCCCCACATGAATATAATGATCTCATAATGATGCAGGTCTGTTGCTCCTGGAGCTCAGTGACATCTGAGGGCTATCTTCTGTGTCATCAGGATCCAGAATGTTCTGAAAAAATTCACAAATAATTAATTTTTTATAAAGAACTGAATTTGACTCGAGCTAAATTGGTGCCACTCTTTAAAATATTTAGGCTCTAAAAATAAAGTGGCTGTGCTGAATAATCTATATTTGGCATAATGGCAGTAGGCTACAGCGCTACTTGAATTATTTATATTATAAATATTTATTTTTTTACTGTTGCTAAAACAAGAATGCTAAAACAATATTATGCACATATAAACATTTCCTGGAACAACAGTTGCAGTCTGTCACGTCCCTCCACTTCCTGATGATGCAAATATAATTCTGACAAGTCTGCACACATTCAACAAACCTGCCTACTTCCCTGCCTGGTTCATATAATCTAAACATTATTAATCCAGTAGGTCATATTTAAAGCACATATACATTCATACAGTGTATTAAATACAATAATTTTCCTCTCTCACACACAATACCTTGCAGCAGTCTGTTTTACATATTTATTTATTTAAAAAATATCTATTTTAGTTTGAACTACTTTGGAAAATATTTTACTTGGTTAGCCCAACTGGTAATGTTAGGGTAAACGAAACCACCTTAGTAGAGCAGGCCTCACTTGTATTTGTGTGTATTTGTGTTTGGATTCATTAATATTTTGCAGAATCAGTATGACTGGTTTGAGAACAGGCCTTTGTTCATAGATTTTTTTGTCTTTTTAATGTTCTGTTTTGGTTCGGTCTCACACTTCCCACTCCCTATAGTCTAATTTGAAACTGCACTAAAAATTATTTGATGAACCTGCCAAGCACCGCAGCAAACTTAGTAATCAGCTAGCTGGTAAACACAGCGGAACGTTTAGCATCTAAATAGCCAGACATTTCACTGAGGAGTTGTTGGATACCAAGCCGGAGGCTAAAGAACAGTAAGTACTGACATTTAAAAGCTTCTGTTTGCCTGATATGCAAAGGGGAAGCAGACGCAGCAATGTTGACCAACATGTTCATCATTACAGCTTTACAAGCTGATAAGAGCAGTGTCTCCTTACAGCTCGCTGCTTAAAGTTTACTTTGTGTAAATAAACTTTAATAGTGACACTCATCTAATTATGTTTTTCCTATAATAGATTTCTTTGTTTTAGAATGAACTTAATTATACTCAAATTATACAGTAAAATCAGCCAGATCCTGGCTGCGCATCACTCTGAGAAGCAGATGTCTTGTAGTTAGTCACTGCTAGTCACATGTGAAGGACATGTCAATATTTCAACTGGCCCTGCCACTCTGACACAAATGTAAACGCCCACATGACCTACCCAGAGAGCCTGGAGGCGCCACTGCCACACTGCCAATATCTGGGTCATTGTTCAGCAACCTTTTATGAAACTCAATTCATGCTGAGGCTTGTGGGTCGGATTAAATGCTGCTTCCAGTAGGTGGGAGGTTACATAAAAGGTTTCAATGTACAGGTTATCTAAAGGTGGGCTGGTAAGTGAATAGGATATATTAGGTTTGTTCCAAGAAGTGAAATGCTTATTACTCTCAAGTCTTTTTCTCTGCACAACATTGAGTGAAAAGCAGAACTGCAGGGCAAGAAGTGTTGCTGAGTCACCTTCATGTCTACTGCAGAAGTGTTTTGTTGTGAACATAGCACAAAACATTTCTGCTGCACACTTGTGTTTTATGCGTTTGGGACTTATCTTTTAATCCAGGCCCCAAAATCAAAGTTGGATGACACCCTTCATCATCTGAAATATCATAAAAACGTCAGATCTTTATAACTATCACAATTTAAGCTATAGTGAAAAGCCAGCTGTCAGTTGAGCTCAGACTACAAAAGCGTTTAGTGTGGCTGAAAGGGTTAAATGTGACTCATTCTTACGATAGACATTTCCTGCATCAAACCAACACTGAAACTTGATTTCGGTTAAATTTGTGCCAATTTGTGTCATTCTGTGCCACTGGGGAGATTTCATACATTTCATATGTTAGTGGTGTGGCTTTAACCCTCTGACTTCATTACTATTGACTGCTTCAACTGAGGCCAAATTGAGCTAATTTGTATGTGAGCACTCAGCATGCATCTCTTTGAATAGGAGTATCAGCTCAAATGTCTAAAATGTCAATGACTGTGTTTTGAATATTAATGAAGGATGAACACCCATCACCTCAGGAAGCTGTCCCTCTTTTTTAAATACAGCCACAAAAGGAAGCATTATTTTAATCTTAGAGATATGACTGTTTGAAAGTCAAAGCAGTTTATTCCCAGTGAGGCGAAACCTTTATTTTCTCAGGATAGTTTATCGCTCTCAGGAAAATTCTCCTGTGTGCTGTTATAAGTTGGTATGACATCCTGTGACGCGTCCAGTACACTATGTAGAAAAGTGGTAAAAATAGCTCACCAAATAGTTCCTAAGTGGCCAGGCAGGCAGGACTGATTGACCATGCAAGGTTTTCTGTGAATCTTCAAGATAGAAACTGCACCAGTGCTAACGGCAAAGT